GTGGGTGGCCAAGGGGGGCTGCACGGAGGGGGCACCTCCTTTCTGCAGCCTGGCCCTTGGCGGGGGCGCCTGCGGGGCATCCTTGGAGCCTTCCAGACGCGACCTCAGCAAGTGCAAAGGCCCTGGGGTTTGGGCCCTGGTTGCTGCTGCTGCGGCGGCGGCTACAGTAGCGGTCACATGGCAACAGGTCAGTGTATCAGTCACCACGTCTGCCTCCCAATGTTATATATACCAGGTTTGGGATCAGATGCGTTAGGAAGGAGAGCGGGGAGGTGACGGGCGGCCCGCGCTGCACGGCTCGGGAGGGAGTTTGAGGTCTGTGTTCCCTGCGGCGGGAGGCGCGTGTGGGTTTCCATCGGCGAGTGGTCCGATCTGATTGCGTTTCCGAAAGGCCCCTGCCGCCTGCCAGCCAAATCTGGGCGACTTCCCTTTTTTGCAGCCAAGAATACGACTGGGTCTCGGGCTTTTAGGGGGAAGGAAGGAAGAAAAAAAAATGTTTCGTGAGAGTGAAAGTGATACGAAATTCCGACTCGGTCTCCACGGTGGAGGCCGGAACAGCCCTGCCCGGCCAGCAGCGCACGGGCCTCTCCCAGCGGAGGACCAGAAGGAGAAGTTGCGACCAGACGGAAGGCGCCTCAAAACTTAAAATGTCCCACCCCGCCCCCTCTCGGGCAGAGCTGCAGACCCCTGGGGCGGAGACCCGGTTGTATGGGGCCTGACGCCAGCAGGGAGCCGAGTACCAGAGGCTGTTCTTTAAACTTTTCTGTCCGTTCAGACATTTACTTAAATAGAAAGTTAAGGAGACGTTGATGAACGGATGCATGGATAGAGCAGACTAGAGCAGACGCGTGGTGGAATATTAGGCAGCCGTGAACAGGAGGGAGCCCCGATGCCTGCCGCCAGGTGGACGGACCCGGAGACCAGGATGCTGAGTGAGCGAAGCCGGACCCAGAGGCCACAGGAGACCCGGTTCACTGCCTTGTGTGAAATGCCCAGGGCAGGCCGGCCGGAAAGACTAGAAGTGGACTTGTGGTCGCCAGGGGCCAGGAGAGGGGGCCTCGGGGTGACCGGCGGCGGCAGAGGGACGCGGGGTCCTCGGTGGTGGAGATGGTCCCCGGACTCTGTGAATAGGCGGCTCCGTCTGCGTTCCCCGGGGTAGAGTTGTTTTTGTTTGTGTGTGTTTTCGTGAGTCACGTGTCCTTACAACAACACGGAGCAGGAAGAAGGCAGTGCCTGGGCCAGGTCTTGCTCCACTCCCGGGGCTGTGACTGGGGCGGGAAGCAGGCCAGGTCGGTCTCGGACGGTCCATCCGTCATGTGCTGGCCCTGGTCATCTGGGGAGAGCTTTGTGGCATCCGGGTGCTGTGTGCCATGGGAGACCCGTGGTGGGCGTGGGGCGGCCGTGGGAGCCCTGGGGACTGGGAAAGGAGACCCCACTGAGGACTGGGCGGGTGGTTGCCGATGCCGACGGCCAGCCCGTCAGTCCCCCAGCGCTGACCTTTCCCAGAGGTCACGCCATTCTCCACGGCTGGATCGGGGCCTTGGAATCGTGACCCCAAAGAAGAAAAGCTCATTTTACCATAAAGGCAGCAAGCGACACTTTTTTTTTCCTGGAGGGGAAACAATCCCACTCCTGGGCACTTTAAGGAATTTTTCCAAAGCAGCCAGCTGGCAGACTCAGGCCACACGCCCCCGTCTCTTCTCTGTGCTTCTGTGACCGGCACTGTGGTCTCCTCCCAGCGGTCACACGGTCCCTGGGCGTGGGGCAGGGCCGGTGATGTAACGTGACTAATATGAAGTGGCGGCCGGCTCCTCGCCCGGGGCTCCGAGGCCAAGGCATGTGACCCCGTGTGCCTGAGCCAGCGCCCGCGTGTTCCCCAGAAATCACGGGCTATTCTGGGCCTTGTACGGGCTGAGCTCTCCCAAGTACTTCCCCGCGAATTACACGCGGAGGTTTAAGTAACCTGACGGGCAGGTCACACAGGATGTGAGGTGGGATCCTAAACTCCGGCGTGTGCCTGGCTCCCGGAGCGCTCATTTCTATGCTTCGTTGAAGGGGATCTGAGCATGTCGACGGGACCAAGTGCCACTTGGATCCATGAGCCGTGTCTGCATTCCTTGTCGCTTTACGTGGACTGGCCCCTTCCCTTTTACGCTCCCCTCCCCTCCCCCCTCCAAACAGAAAGACTTTTTGTGTATATTTAGTTTTATCGTCTCCGTAACCACTTCTCTGCTCACAGTTCCTCTTTCCTGTCTCCAGGGCAGCGTGAACGTTTTGAGTCCAGCCTGGTAACACTGAAATGAATGTGTCGCCACGAACAGCTGTCTCAGACGATAAAAATTCCCCTGCGAATCGCTGACTCAGTAGTCACGCCAGCATTTGGTCTAGGACCCGTGTCCAGTTCTGACATGGGAGGGAGAAGGTTTACTTAGAATTTAGAATTTCAGTTTGAGGGGGTGCCACTGTTTGGTTGCAGTTGGCAGATTAATTTCCAACACTGTAGACAATCCGGGCCCAAGTATCGGTTCAGGAGACCTGGACCGGCGGAAAGGTTCTTGTGTGCGGTTCATCACTGCTGTCCGGGCCTCCGCGAGGAACCGCGTTTGGTATTGAGAAAGGAGTTTGTCACGTGGGTCAGAATTCCGAGCTGTTCCTGGAGCGGAGACGGCCCAACTTTCCCAGACCCTGTAACGCGAGACGGCAGCCTGCCCGGCCCTGGTATGAGCCCGGCCGGCCTTTCACTCCCGAGTTCCAGGAGTTCATGAAGGGAATTGGCTGGAAGCAACTCGGGGAGAGTGGAGACGTGAGAGACGTGAAAATCCACGCGGCAAGGGGAGCCATGGGCCTGCGCCCGCGTGTGCAGTCCAGGGCTTTGGGCTCCGTGTGAGTGTGCACCCCAGAAACCCCCTCTTCTTCCCCTGGGGCCCGTGTTTGCCCGGGTCCAGGAATCGGGTTTGAGTTCCCGGGACTCCCTCTCCTGTCGGAGCCTCGCGGGCCACAGGGAGTCTTCCTCCCCCGGGCTCAGCGTCGGCCTGCAACTTCCTCCTCGCTCCGGACTTCCCGGGCACAGGTGCCGCGTGGTCAGCCGCCGCCCACGCCGCCGCCCGGGAAGGGGCCGGCTCGCGGTGGTGAGCGGGAGGCCTGCACGCGGCCTGCGTGTTGAAGCAGCCGCCAGGGGCCCCACGCAGGTGTCCAGAGGCTGTTCTGAGACTGTCTCCGGGGTCTGCTGGATGGAAGTGTAATGAGAGGCGCAGCCCGGACTGTGTGGTGATCGGGGGTGTGGGTGCTTTCTTACAGGGGCCCTGAGTGGGCTGTAAACGTTTCGACGGTGCTGTGATGACAACAGTAATTATGTAAATACGCAGATTTCTACATTTAATTTGATTTTTTTCCATCACCATTTAGCCCCTTGACCCTATACCCTCCTCCTAAATATATTGTTTAGCATACAAAAACACTACGGCTCAGCCTCCTGGGAACCAGGAGGCCACGGTTCAGTTCCTGGTCAGGGCACAGGCCCGGGTTGCGGGCTCCATCTCCAGTGGGGGGCGTGCAGGAGGCAGCGGGTCCATAACTCTCTCTCATCACTGATGTTTCTCTCTCCCCCTTTTTCTCTGAAATAAAAAATATTAAAAAACAAACAACAAAAACCCCCACTGTGTATCTTTTTCCTCCTTGAAGGCCGCCGCCCAACCTTACGCCTGTCCCCGTTGCCTTCAGGTTAAAGACCGCGGCCCGGAAGCCACGCGCCGGTTCTTCAACTGGTTCTACTGGAGCATCAACCTGGGGGCCCTCCTCTCGCTGGGCGGCGTGGCCTACATCCAGCAGAACGTGGGCTTCGTGAGCGGCTACGCCATCCCCACCGTCTGCATCGGCGTCGCCTTCCTCACCTTCCTCTGCGGCCTCAGCGTCTTCGTCACCAAGCCCCCAGACGGCAGCGCCTTCACCGACGTGTTCAAGGTCCGGGCGTACTGGTGCCGCCCCCAGCAGCGACCTGCGGACCGCGGTCCCGGCGGGTGAGGGCGCGGTCTCCGTCCAGGCCCAGTTTGCCAGGAGCGTCGGGTCGGTCCCTGTAGCTGAAACGCCCGCTTGCGTCTGTGGGTGCTGGCTGTGCAGGGCGCTGGGTGGGGGCGGCCGTGTCTCGTGTCCGTAACCTCCTGTCCGTGCGGGCGGTGGGCGGGGTGTCCCTCCGTCCTGAAGACAGACCACAGCCTGACTGGAGCCGGGCTGTTCGTTTTTAACCTCGTGAGCTTCCTGGTTGACGCACGGAGGCTCTGCCTGTCCGGTGACGTGGAAGTGATAACGGAGACGTGGTGGGAGACGTGGCGGGAGACAGGCGTGCTCGGCACCTTTCTCTTCTGATGAGGAGCTTGGAGCCATTTGAATGGGAGATCAGGTCGTGGCTCACTTTGTGGGCGCCTCCCTGTGCCCCACAGAAAGCAGCCCCTGTGGGTCGGCCCGGGCCATGACCCCGTGCTCCCCGCGGGGCTCGGCAGGAGGTGGACCCCAGAAAAGAGGTGCAGGGGCTTCCCCGTGCAGCCTCACAAGTCCATGTGCCGGGCAAGTCCACGTCCTGGGGAAGGTGGGCCCGACGGCCAGGCACCTGCACGCAGTCTGTAAGTCCAGGCCGTACCCGAGGGGAGACTCAGAATGTCCTCCCTCGTCGTTTGCTGAGGTATGAGGCCCCCTAGGGAGCCGGTCCCTCTGGGTGCACAGTGCCGGGACGTGCGGCACCACCGTGCGGTCAGGCCTAGGATGTGTCATCACCCAGAGGACAGGCCTCCTTGATGGGGTCAGTCCCCGGGCCGGAGGTGACCCTCGGGCACTCTGCAGCCACCCCACGCCTGCCTCCTCTGCTTGTCTGCATGTCTGATTCTGTCCTGGGAGCCGGGACACGCCCGTCCCAGCTCCCGCTGCCTGTGGGGGTTCCCGCCGCTCCTGGCCGACCCGCAGGCCTAGTCAGGGCCGCATCCAGTTCCCAGTTCCGATCCCAGACCAGGACCACGCGGAGGTTCTACAGAGGCAGCAGCTCTGCCCGGCGCCCCTCCCCTCTGGGTGCTCCCACAGGGCCAGGCCCAGCCAGGGCAGCGATTTCACTTCCTGCTGTGGGTGGCAGGCGAGTGCCTTCCCCACGCCCTCTGGAAGGAGCCACAGTTGGCCTGCCTGCGGGTGGCTCCTGCAGGCGTCTGGGATTTCCCTTCGCCTGGGAGGCCTCTTTGGCACTTTAGGATGAAAAGGGTCGCCTTGCAGAAAGGCCTAGAGGACCCTCAGACCTCCCTCCTCCCGCAGGCCTGGCTCTGCAACCCGGGGCAGGTGATGAGCTGCGGGGGTGGGGTGGGGGGGGCAGGTGAGGCCTGAGCACTCCTTACCTGCTGCCGGACACCGGCCAGGCAGGTGATCCAGCTGTGCCCTCCGGCTCTCCCTGAATCACGCACGGGGGCTGCCTCTATGTAAACAGTGGGTGGACCACCCCGGGGCCTGGTGTCAAGTCTCCACATTTGATAGAACCTTAAAAATCCAAACAACCCGGCAGTTTTCAAACATGAACCCAGCCGGGGAGCTGATGCCATCGCTGCAGCTTCCACGTGGGGGCTCTGACGAAGGGGGCTCTGACTGGTGTGACGGCCCTGGGCAGGCAGGCACTGGGCGGGCAGCCGTGCAGGGGGAGCCCTGTGCCCGTCAGCCCTCTGCCAGCCGCCTCGGGGCTCGGCGATGCTCAGAATAGCGGGGCCTCCGCGGGTGTCCTGTCCGCAGGTGGCACAGTGACGTTTAATAAATTCTCCCGCCTCCAGACTTCAGTGTGACCTGGTTCCAGGGGGAGAAAACTAATTCCTCCGTTTTGTCTCCCAAGTGAAGGCAGTGGAGGCTGCCAGCCGCCTTCTAAACACAGTCTGTTTGATTCCTGTAAGATGTCCCGGGGTGGGCCCTTCACGGAGGGCACCGTGGAGGACGTGCGGGCCCTGGTCAAGGTCGTGCCCGTGTTCTTGGCTCTGATCCCCTACTGGACGGTGTACTTCCAGGTGGGTGGTGCGCGCGGCCCTGGCTCACTGCGCCCGGGGCCCAGGTTCCTCTCCCCCGAGTCTCTGGCGTCTGGGCGTCTCCTGTTTAGTTCCCGACTCATTTTTGCTGATTGAGACATTGTGATGTTTTTTTCTAAAGCAACAGCCAGGAATGGGTCCCTTCTACTGTCCCCGGCCCCTTTCCTTCGGTTTCTCATGTGGGTGGCTTAGGCTTCAGGGTGGCAGGGGCGGGGCCGCGCCCGCACCCCTAACGCTGCCGCTTGTCACCCCAGATGCAGACCACGTATGTCCTGCAGAGTCTTCACCTGAGGATCCCAGAAATCCCGAGCCTCACGCCCACCACGAACACGGTGAGCAGGCAGGGGCCGGAGGACGGCCTGGGCGGGACACGCGGGCCCTGCCTGTGGCGGACACTGCACAGGGGGTAACGGTCAGTGAGCCCAAAGCGTCCACACCGAAGGGGCAGCTCGCTGTGTTAAAGACGTGCCCGCTGGGCGTGTCAGTCACTGTATACGCTGACTCGTTAATGACGCATGAACGACTGCTCACCTGGCTCTTCCTCCCCTGATGCCCTGAGACGTCCGTGCAGCGCCTCCGGGACCAGGCCTGGCCTCCGTCCGGGGACTGAGCTGAGCCTCTTCCCGGAGGGCGGACCCTGTAGAAACGCCCCGCACGGCCCCCTGGGAGGTTGTCCCCCGGCCTCTCGCAGCGCCGTGACCGAGTCTGTGCCTCCTGCAGTTCCCGGCCGCCTGGCTCACCATGTTCGACGCGGTGCTCATCCTGCTGCTGATCCCGCTGAAGGACAAGCTGGTGGACCCGGTGCTGCGGCGGCACGGCCTCCTGCCGTCCTCCCTGAAGCGCATCGCCGTGGGCATGTTCTTTGTCATGTGC